CCAGCTCCGTGGCTGAGGGGGCTTCCCTCCTGTCCCTTGGGTCTCCCCACAAGCCCTGCCCGCCTCTGCTCTGGTCCCCGTGGCCCACTGGCTTCCTTGTGCACCCCCAGGACCTGGCGTGGGATGGGATGGCTCCATTGAGACCCTGTCAGAACATGAAGCAGATGTCAACCGAGAGGGTGAGTGGGGGTATTTGCCCTGCCTGGGGCCCCTGGCAGACCCCATTCATGCATTCGTCTACTTGACAGTGAGCCTTTGCTAAGTGCTGGGTGATGTGCTAGGGATACAGCAGGGGTACGGCTGGGGATAGAGCAGGGAACATTCTGGGATGGGAGACAGACAGACGTAAACAGCTTGCATAAAAATAACAATTATCGGGGCGCCTGGGTGGCTCAGTCGGTTAAGCGTCTGACTTCAGCTCAGGTCACGATCTCGCGCTCCGTGAGTTCGAGCCCCGCATCAGGCTCTGGGCTGACGGCTCGGAGCCTGGAGCCTGCTTCCGATTCTGTGTCTCCCTCTCTCTCTGCCCCTCCCCCGTTCATGCTCTGTCTCTCTCTGTCTCAAAAATAAATAAACGTTAAAAAAAATTTTTTTTAAATAATAATTATCTACAACAACCCTGTCCAGTAGAAATAGGATGCGAACTACATGTGTAATTTAGAATCTTCTAGAGCCCTCATCAGAAAAGGAGAAAGAAACAGGTAAAAGTAATTTTAATAGCATATTTTCGTCATCTCAGTACACCTGAACTGTGACCATTTCACCATGTAGTCAGTGCGGAAAGTCATTAATGAGCTGTTTTATTTAAAAAAATGTATCGTTGTCATTTATTTAAAAAATTTTTTGTAACGTTTAGTTTTGGGGGAGAGAGAGAGAAGGAGAGAGGGAGCGTGAATGGGGGAGGGGCAGAGAGAAAGGGAGACACAGAGTCTGAAGGAGGCTCCAGGCTCTGAGCTGTCAGCACGGAGCCTGACGCGGGGCTCGAACCCACGAACCGCGAGATCATGACCTGAGCCGAAGTCAGACGCTCAACCGACTGAGCCACCCCGGCGCCCCCTTAATGAGATATTTTATATGATTTTTTCCTGCCACGTCTTTGAGCCCAGTGGATATTTTATACCCAAGCACATAGAAGTTCCGGCCCGCCACATCTCAGGTGCTCGGTCCTGTACTAGGCAGCTCGGCGCCAGAATATTTAGGAGGTGATCATGCTCTGGGGAGAACGGAGAGCCGGGTGAGGGAGCTCAGGCACGCTGGGTGGGCTGCAGTTCTAACTAGGTGCTCGGTGTAGCCCGCGGAGAGGAGGTGAGGTTGGAGCAAAGACCCGGAGGTGAGAGTTTGTCCTGTGGACATACCTGGGGAACAGCATTCCAGGCAGGAGTAACAGCTGAAACAAAGGCCTGGCGAGTTCAAGGACAGGCTACAGCCACAGTGAGGAGGGGGAGAGCGGAGAGGAGCCCAAGGGGCAGCGGGAGGGCACAAGGCGTGGGGCCCTGTGGGCCACCGTGGGTGCTGGGAGCTCCCGAGGGGTCTGGCCTGAGCTGAACCTTCCCTTTTAGGCCTCAAGGTGCCGGAGCCAGAGAAACGCCCTCTCACACCCTCCCTCAGCCAGTGACACCGCAGGGACCGGGGGCCCGAGAGTGCAGCCTTCTTACCGCTGGAGTCCCCGTGGGGGCCCCAGGCAGCCCCAGAATTCAGGGACCCGGGCTACCTGGAGCCAGCCTGGCTCCTCTGAGGCCCGCATCAGTGCCCCGAGATGGGGCTGGGATAAGCCTGTGGACAGAGGGGACGGCTGGTCCCCACGAGCAGCTCCTTCCCGGGGCCCTGGCTCTGCCACGCGGCCCTCGCTGAGGAGACCATCGCCGGGTGACCTCCCAGATGAAGGAGACAGGCAGGAGTGGCCGAGAGAGCCCCCTGCCAGGTCCAGGCGGGGAGCCAAGGACCATTCGCCGAGGACGGTGGCCTGGGCTGATCTCTGAGCTGTAGCTGGGCCACGGACATGACAATAAAGCTGGGATACGACCACCTGAGTTTGGGCTGTGTCCAGTCCCAAGGCACCAGCGCCACCGGGCCCAAGTCCTTCTGTGTGGCTGGGGATCTGTGCCCATTGGCTTCCTCACATGGCACAGGGCTGCTAGGGCTTTCTTCAGG